CCCCTTATGGACCCCCTTACACTGTCTTGCATTACAGATATTGGCAAGCATGCAAAAACTAAATAAGACATTATTTTCTACCGGTCGATTTTCTTGCAGAAAATTTCGCACTACACACTATGCATAAGTAAATTAGGCGAAAAATCATATGTGAGTTCCACATTTTAGCCCCAAAAGGGCTGCGCTAACAAGCTTTTTCCAATTGATTTCCGCACTAAATGATTTATTGAAAAAATAAAAATGATACCATAGTCAAATCCAATCATTGTGTTCATTATTTATTTTTAGTACAGTCTTTTATTTTCTTTCTATGGTAATAATGTCTTGGATGCCATTTTTAATGAATTCAGGATAAGGTGATAAGAAAATAAGAGGAATTTGAATACGGATTCGCTGGATGAAATCTGTGAAATTTTTTTCACCGTGCAGATTATGAATTCCTTGTGTATTCAATTTCGGTTTGAAATGATTAATCAGTAATTGCTCAATACAAATAAGAAGCTGTTCTTCATTTGTTTTTGGACGTTTCTTGGAGTTGGATGCAATGGTACTTTGAATCATATTCGGAGAAGTCGATGAATCTGAGCTTTCGATTGCTATACCATTGATATCAAGAGCAAAAAAACATATTCTGAATGGTTGATGGCAATAAATTGGATTAAGCAGTTTTGTGAATGCTGAATGACCAGAAGAAAATCGCGAAACCATGGTGGTAGTTAATCCAATATACAATAGTTCGAAACCCGCGTAAATGAAATACAACGATGGGCACCGTTTAGTATGTCCATATTGTAAGACATATTTGTTAATTATTAAAACCATCTTTCTGTGTTCCTTGTTGATTAGGTCGTTTTTGTTATCTGCCATATAACTTTCGTACTGTGCCAATTTTTTATTGGTTTCGTCAATATTTTTTTCGATGATTTTTACAATATTCTCTGTTTCAAGTATCGAATCAAGTGAAATGAAATTTCGTTCTGTGATGGTATCTATCTCATGTTCGCTGTTCGCAGGAGACCCCTTGGCGAATTGATCATCATCATCATCATCATCTGGATATTTACGTATTCTATTGTCATGTTCACTAACTTTGTTACTCGCCTCGTCTATCGATTCACAAAGATCATCTAGATCTGTCGATGGTAACAAACGCTGATCCTTTATGGCACGACCAAAATCTTTAATAACACTTTTAATACCATGCTTGGTCTCGGTAACTGACTTCTCATCATCCTCGAGCGTGTCCAAAGAATATGAGTTACCAGGTTTGGGCTGATCATCACTATCATCTGACTGATCGTCATTCACCAATTCACCAGTATCTTCACTCTCATCTATATCACTGTCATGTCTCATATATTCTTCATAATAATCTTGAGCCCCTTGATCCTGCTCTAGTTTATCTCTGCGAGCTGAAATCTCTATCAAGTGATCTTGTGTCTCAACTAATAGAGCTTTAGCCTGATTCTGTAGTGGTTGATATACATTATCGAGCAGTAATTTTATACATTCTTTGGCTTTCTTTGTCACAGAGTTGTTATATTTGTTTGCAATATCCCAATCCAACAATTCAACAGTCTTCAGTGTTTTTTGTATAAGATGTGGTGCTGTGCTATGAAGCCATATTAATTTTACATCTATGCGAGTTGCATTGTAATCCACTGATTCGATATGTGCTTCAGTAATTTGATATAATTCGTTATCAATCGTTGTAGACGTTAAAAGAATGTTTGAGTTGTTTACTGTTTGTGAGGCTCCATGTAGCTGTCGAACATGATCAGTCACTAATGCGCCCAACGATCTAATCTTATTATTTTTTTCCAACAAAGGTAAAAATATACCATTACTCTGTAAGCCAATAATGAATGGACTGCACGGATTGGGGTTGTCGTGTGATTGATGTTTAAAGTGTAGCACGTTTTTATTTGAACCGTTGAATAATACAACGTAAATTTCTCGCTGGAGAATCTTTGCTGCGGCAAAGAGGTATGCTGCCTTCTTCCACTTACTTCTTTCACTGCAGCACTTCAGTATTTCATGTTGTGCATCGCTTGTAATTTTGAAAGTAGTAATTGAAGTACCATCCGGCAGCACGTATGACTCGTTAGTTTCTAACCAGTTAATAATATTTTCATGTAATGAAAGCGATAATGTGCTCCGCTGATTAAACCAATCCTTTGATATTTGCAAACGGTTTTCGTTAGAGTGTTGTTGTAAAAAAACGAGGTAAGCAAGGGTGTCTGGAATACCGTAGTGGCTTGATTGTGTAATAAATGGTAGCGACTCCTCCAATATCGTGGCGAGTTTATGTGATTCAAAGAAATTTTTGCTAGACCCTCGATCAACAAACTCCAATAGTTCAATTTCGTTAGTAGTGTATTTATTCAATCGGTGTGCGGTCATGATTCAGCTTTCTTTTTTTGTATTTTTGTAACTATTCAGTGAAATTAAGTCAATCTGAAACAATAGATACTTATCAAGTGACCCAATTAGTTTAATTTTTAGAAAATAAAAACAATTCTTATAGAGATCATGAGAAGTTAGTGACTCAAGGGGTGTAGTGCAAGTCTTATATACACTGTAAAATAGAAAAATGAGGGTAGGTGTGGGGTGTGGGTATGAAGTGAAGACCCACACCCTGAGTACACTCATCTCATAGATGGTTTTAGATTTCTACGTAACAGTCATTGATAATTTGCGCATATAGGCATCATAATTTTTATCCTAAAAAATCAGTTTACGATTCAACTTGACGACTCATTCTTTTTCTGTAAAACACACGATGTGACACAGGAATGAAATAAATCTTACTATTATAATGACAAGTAGAAAAAAAGTAGAGATGCATTTTACCTTCAATCAATTAATCGACTGCTGCTGCTGTATTTTGTTCACGAAAGTTTCTGCTTCTGATGCAATCTTTTTCATTCCAATTTATTTATCCTGTGTGATTTCGTCAAATATATATATATGACAGAGTATAAATATTGACAATGAATCATATTCTCTTCAGATTTTTCACAAAAATGCAGCAGTGGCAGAATTCTCACCAAGCAAAATTCGAGAATTCTGTTCATTTATAAACTATGCTATATTCTTTCTTTCCTGTATTATATTCTTTCTTTCTTGTGCTATTTTCTTTCCTTCCTG